CTCTTCGTGCCCAAGGATCCACTCCTTCCTTGCCCCACGTGCGGTAGGCAGTGTAAAAGGGCGAAGGGTCTGGCCGCTCACCAACGCCACGCCCACGGCGCTAAGATGCAGGTGCGGTATTATATCATAGGAACACATTGCCCGTGCTGCCACAAGAATTTCCATACTCGGCCTCGAGCCGTGCATCACCTGCAGTTTTCGAGCAGACAGTGCCGAGAGAAAAAGAAGGCAGGTCTTTTACCCCGCCACTCCGAACAGGCTGTGATAGCAGCCGACCGAGCGGATGCCTTAGCACTCCGCGCCACGGGAGCCCGGGGCGAAACTCGCACTCGAGCCTTACTTCCTCCGCTGGCGCCCGACGTGGACCCAGCGGTACAATTTCCGCTTTAACGTAGTTTGCGCTGCCCCTTGGCCGCCCTCGCTGCTTCCTCAAGCCGCGATTCCAGCAGAGCTCCAGGTCCACCTACAGCCCAGCCAATCAATCAATCAATCAATCAAATCAATCAATCAAATCAATCAATCAACCCATCATCATCATCATCATCATCATCATCATCATCAGCATCATCATCATCATCATCATCATCCTCCTCCTCCTCCTCCTCCTCCTCCTCATCATCATCATCATCATCATCATCATCATCATCATCATCATCATCAACATCAACATCAACATCAACATCAACATCATCATCATCAACATCATCATCATCATCATCATCATCATCATCATCAACATCATCAGCATCATCATCATTTCCGACACGATCCGCATCATCATGATCATCATCATCATCATCATCATAATCATCAGCATCATCATCAGCATCATCATCCGTATCATCATCAGCATCAGCATCAACATCATCGTCATAATCGTCACGATTATCAGCATCAACAGCTTTATCATCAATATCAGCACCATCATCACAAACATCACCAGCATCATCAGCATCATCATACTTATCAGCATCAGCATCATCACCATCATCATCAGAATCATCATATGCATCATCATCAGCACTAGCATCATCATGATCATCATCATCCGCAGCATTATCAAAAAAAACATGATAGTCATCATCGTCATCATCATCAGTATTATCAGAAGCGTCGTCAGCATTATCGGCATCATCATAATCAGATTCAACGGCATAGTCATCATCATCAGAATCAGCATCAGCATCGTCATCTTCATCGCCAGCATCATCATCAGCATGATCCTCATCATCATCAGCATTATCATCATCGTCATTTTTATCAACAGCATCAACCAGCAGCAGCATCATCGTCATCATCATCAGCAGCGGCATTATCATCATCGTCTTCATCATCAGCAGCATCCATCAGCAGCAGCAGCATCATCATCAGAATCATCAGCATCCTGATCGTCGTCGTCGTCCGCAGCAGCAACAGCAGCAGCATCGGCATCACCACCACCACCAACAGCATCATCAGCATCAGCATCATTAGCATCAAAAGAATCATCATCAGCATCATCATAAGCATCATCATGTTCATCAACGTCATCAGCATCATCATCTTCATCTTCATCACGCTCATCATCATCATCCTCATCATCATCACCATCAACATCATCATCATCATCATCATCATCAGCATCATCATCATCATCATAATCATCATCATCATCCTCATAACCATCAGAATGATCATCGCCAACATCATCATCATCATCAGCAGCAGCAGCAGCAGCGTCATCATCATCATCTTCATCGTCGTCATCAGCATCAGCAGCATCAGCATCAGCATCATCATCGTAAGCAGCATGAACATCATCATCATAATCATCATCATCGACATTATCATCAACGATATCATCAGCATCATCATCAGCAGGATCATAATCGACATTATCATCATCGTTAACGTCATCATCATCATCAGCAGCTGCATCAGCATCATCATCATCATCGTCATCGTCATCATAATCAGCATCATCAGCATCATCATCAACATCAGCATCACAACCAGCATCATCATCATCAACATCAGCATCACCACCAGCATCAGCATCAGCATCAGCATCAGCATCAGCATCAGCATCAGCATCATCATCATCATCATCATCATCATCATCATCATCATCATCATCATCATCATCATCATCATCATCATCATCATCATCATCATTGCTTGCATCTCATCATCGTCGTCGCCGTCGCCCCCTCTTCCACCACCTACTCCGCACCATGCTGCTGCTGCTCGCTCTGCTTGCCCTGCTCCTCATGCTCGTCCTCCGGCTTGCCCCTCCTCTGGGCACCTGCCCAACCCACGGCGTCGTCGACAATCCTCGCGAACATCCCCTCGTCTTGGGTCGACGGCATGGCCTCAGCCTCGAGGACCCGTCCGCCCACCAGACCGACTGGCCTGCGGGCGTGAGCCCCGAAAACAGTTTTCACTGCCTTGCACTTTGAGAGCCCACGGCGGCTGCAGGATAGCACCCAGAGCTCGTTCCCAACACGCGTTCGGGACCGATGTTCGCTCTGGTTCGGCCCCTGCTGGGCCATTCTTGGCCTCCGAGATCGGCCTCTGGAGCCCCAAGGGGCGCCCCTTCGGCCCACCTCCGCCGACAAGACAGACACCTCAAGGCGTAGCAGAACCCGTCGTCTTTCTAGCAGGGCGTACCCTGGGCGCCTCGCAGGGCCGCTCGTTCGCGCCTCTGCGCGCCAGTCTCCCCCGACCCAGGGTCCCGAAGGGGACCTCGGAGGGGGCTCGGGCACCACGCGGGGATGCTCGCGGGCGGGTCGCCAAGAGGCCCCCTCGGGCCGCCTCGGGCGCCTCGTGGCCCCACTGGTGGCCCCATCTGGGGGGGCCTGCTCGGCAGAGACTGCGCTGCTGGGGACCGCCCTGGGGCCGCTCTCATCGGCCTTCTGCGGGGCCTTCCTGGACGTCGCTGGGCACAGATTCAGCCCGACTCTGGGCCACAGTCGGCTCGTTCTGCGAGCACTGAGGCGGGCGGGCGGGCGGTGAACGCGAAGCGTCTTGAACAGAGCGCTTGTACCGCGCTCATGGACTTCACACGCATACAACGCATACGCGCGATAACGCGGTCCTGGGGCCGCTTGCACCACATCATTTTCCTCAAGCCACGCCCCCCGCCCGCCCCCCGCCCCCGCCCCCACCCCAACCTTATCCGCAAACGCGGGAACCCGGAGCGGGTTAGCAAAGTCACAGCGAATGGAAGGCACAGCTAATGAATCACGAAGCCTTGGGCGCGGACGCGGGCAGACTGCCAGTGGTTGCACCGTCGTCCAGCGACCGCGACGTTCTCTGCACTCCGCGAACCTGTGCGAGTTGGGGTTGACTGTGCTGTGCGCAGCTGCACCACGAGGTCGAGGTGGAGCTGGTACGACTTGACGGCACTTGCGTGATGGAGAGGCTTCCTGCAACGGTCGCGCCGACTGCCCTCACTAAGCAACAACATGTGAGCCCTACCCCTGCAGGTCCACTTACTGAAGCTCCGTCTGGGATTCAGAATTTGAAGGATGACTGCACCGAAGTCAAGCCCACCCGTCTTGTCCGACAGCCCACCGTCGAATGACCCACAGGGGTAAGGTTCGCAATGGGTCGCAGACTCACGAAAGTGCCCATGTGATCTGTGAATCTCGGTGGGCGGCTGGCGCTCATGGCGAGCTGCTGCCGATCATGTTGCTGCGAACGTCAAGGGATCCGACGTTCATTGGCTGTCTGTGACGAGACGAAGGCACTCAGGATGACAAAGCCGACGACGAACATGACGGCGCTGATGATAAACCAACTGTCGCCTGCAGGGGCGCTGGGCACTCCTTCTTCGACTCGTCGGGGTGCATCTCAAAAATTGCCTCCTCTATAGCCTGCGCGGCCGTCGGACGCGGAGGTGTAGGATGGATTGGGGAAGGACGAAGAAGAGGAGCAACAAGAGATCTATTCAAAACGAAGACCCAGCCAGAAGGAGGGTTTGGGCAAATGGGTCGCACAACACTTGAAATAGACAGATTGTGCGGATTGACTACCTGTGCGAACACGTTGCGCGTGCGAGCATACGGTTCGTATGAATGCAAATCGGGCATGTGCGAGCATAACGGACTCTACAGGAAGCCAAAGGCCATGTTCGTTCAGGGTGGCGTGATTTGTGTTTTTTTCCTGAGAAGGCGGGCGGAGCGCGACTGCCCCTGCACAACTCAACGATGCGGCAACAGCAATGCGAATTGAAATGTCGACACGCGAACCAGGAAAGCATGAACTGACCTGCAATAGGCAAGCTCATGCAGCACCCGTGATGGTGACGAAACTTGTAAATTGCCTGGACCCGAAAGTACACCCACCCACCACCAGTCCATGTATTCAGGGGGTCCGCGGGCTACCACAAATATTGCTGTGCGATTTACGGAGGGCTTTCGGGCCACCCGGGAGCCACAAGACAAACTTCCCATATGAATTGCCGCCCGCGCCGACGCAAGGGCTTAAGCTTCCGCATCCATGTGCGAAATCACTGTGCGTGAACTTCGTCGCCGATCTGTCTGGGATGAGCGATTTTCCGTCGGACGGAGGCAATCGGAGTAATTCCGCCAGTCCTCTGGGAGCACCCGGCTCAGGAAATGCAACATTCCATAAGACCTGTATCCCCCATCGGTTAAGGGTTCGCCTCTCCACGGCCATCCTCCTTCCAGAGGTCAGACCGAGCGTAAACCTCGTTTTCAAAGGAAACGGCCAGATGTGGGCGGTCCAGCAGCAAAACAAAGCGTCCGTGGCGCGCCGCGGCGACGGGCCACGGCGCACGCGGAGGGCGGACCTGCCCAGGTCCGTGTCGGTCGGGCAGTTTAGCGGCCTGCCCAAATCGAGTCAGCCTAATGACCCGACCGGGTCGAAGCAGCTGAAGGACCCTTCCCAGGTCGACAAGCGAAGCGCCCCGACGAGCTGTTCAGCCGAGGCATCTTCACGCTCCGATTTCTCCAGGTGTCGGAGGGCGCGCGCGGCTGAGGTCGCCCTGAAAGCAG